GAATATCTTGCCAAACTTAAAAAAAAACAGATTGTATAAAGCATGAGAGAAATTACCAATTTCGCTCATCGTAATAATAGCAATTTCCTGATTCGGAATTGAACAGGAATTGGTCTTTTATTATCAATCAGACTAAGTTTAATCAATCAATATTTGGGGTTAAGAAATTGCGAATGTAAATAGAATATTTGTTCATATAGTGCGGATTCGATTAGTCCGGTTTATTAATGTCAAAACAGACAACATTTTAATTTAGCAAAATAAATTAGTATACACAATAACTTTTTTATACATTGTTTTTTTCATTTATCTAATCAAGTCTCTTTCTGTAAGGTTTCTTTTTGCATGTAATTAATTTCTCGATTAGTCCGGTTTCAAATAGTCCGAGATATTATAAAAACAGATTACCCGCACTATGCGAGGTATTGCTGTACTTAGTAAGTTTTAATTCTATAGAATTTGCAAGTTTTTTTTTGTGAAAGATAAGAGTAAATATTTGTCTGCTTTAATATATATTTTGATTTATGCAAATTTATATATAAGAATTATTTCTTAATTTATCATTTATTTAATACAAAAAAACTAAGATAATGGTAAGATATTACAATATAAAGAAGTACCTTGCATAGTGCAAAATCTGTTAGTCCTGCTTCACCATAGTCCGGTTTAATAATGTCAAACGGAAATTATGGACAATTTGTTTTTTACTACAGACAATTAAATAAAACAAATATCAGGTAGGTCACTTTGACCCATCCGCAGTACTTACGGGATAATACAAATTAACTAACAATGTATAAATTAATAATAACATTATTACTATATTGTTTCATATATAAAAATAATATTCTAAAGTTAAAGTCTTTATTACGTAGGTTTATTACATAAGAAATAAAGAAAAATGAGGTGGAACACGCTATGTACTTTTAAATATATTACTTGTTGTATTTTATCAACTATCTTGTAGCTCGTTTCGTCGTCGTATACAAGATAAGTTGGTATATTATGACGTTAATTCGCCGTCATCCTCCTTCACAATGATGGAGGCATCGCCTACGCAACAGAATCTGAGGAAAACTGGGTGAAAGGCAAACACAGAGATAGCCTACCTTTGTGCAGAAGCAAGATTATTTAAACCTAATATTGTTGTATACCTTCGGCAGCAATTATATTACGCTGTGATATGAACTACTCAATTGACACATCCTTAATAATCTCAAATAAGAGCTTTCATCTCATCGACGTAATACAAAGAGTATGTAATCAACAATAACAACGTATAAGATGAAATCTCTTTGCGTCATCATAAATGGGATAAAAAGTAGTTTAATTATGATAATTTAATTTGAAAAAAAGACACAAATTCTTATAATGACTAAAATTTTATTTATTTATCAAAAAAAACTTTAATATATTCAAATACGGGATAAAACAATACAGGAATTCCGTGTTACACCAAAGTCTATGTAAGTATATTTTATAATTGTTTGAAGAATGAAAATATTTCAAAATAAAATAAGATATTTAAAATTTTAAACACTTATATTACTTGTTTTCATTTGCAAACATAGTATAATTGTACAGAGTTTGTACCGATGCATACTGAATTTTTTATTAAATTAAATAAACAAAAGCAATAAAGTATTGTCGCTCATTGTAAAATACATAAATATATAAAGAATTTTTATTTCCAAATTAACTGAAATACAATTTTGAAAAGTAATCCTCTAGAATCAATACTTAGTCATGTAAATATAGTTTCAGATTTTTTCGATGCAAATTTTAAAAACTTTACACAACAAATATATTTTTTTTAAATAAAAAAGTATAAAAATATGTATAAAAGCGAACCAATTAAAAAGTGCAAAAGTGCATAAGTATTAAAAGAAAGTAAAGTTAAGTATTCTTCTAATAGGCTTAATGCTACTTAAAAACTCGAAAGATTTAATGAGTTGGCCGTTACATAACTTCCCAATATAAAATGCGAAAGATATTTCAACTTTGTTCCTTCTTTTTGTTTTTGTTTGTTTTTGCGAATGTACGTGACAGTTTGGTTCTCTTGGAAAGTAAAGATGAAACAAAACAAAAAAGTTAACAAAAATATTTTGAAGTCTTTTCCCTTTATGAATGGAGCGTCTCTGACATTAATTAATTATACCCGTGATGTGGTTTTTAACCATTCAAAAAAAAAATCTGTTTTAACTTCCTATGCAAATATCAAGCTAATTAATAGCGTACAGGAAATAGATGAAAGATACGTATTTTATTAAATATACCAGAAATATACATGTTCTTTTATGAAAATAATAATAGATACATTTGCAATATTGTCTTAACCTTTAACTACTCGCGCTGGGGTAAAAAGTACACTAATTTTCTAAGAAATGATACCAGATCTTAATTTTCTTTTCCTCATCTATGACACGTAACGTAACCTATCTATGCCTAAAGTGTTTACTAAATGTTGGTGCAATATTGTGTTGACTGCGGCTCAAAGAAGTTGTTTTTGTGCATGTTCGTTCATGCTCTTCAGTGTAGGTGAAATAGCAAGCAATGCTGATATCTCTCTCTATTCACGCTTATATAGAGGGCAATGACGACAATTCTGATTCAGAAATTATTATATGTATGTATTACAAATAGTTATGAATCTAATAAAAAAGCAAAGCTTGTCGTAATACAATCATTTAAGCACTCCGTAATATGTACGGAGTATAAAATACACCGCGCGAATAGTACATAGAAATTTTAGTATGCGAGTAGGGCTTTTGAGAATTATAAATTATAAATTCTGAATTAAATTTTGAATATTTATTGTTATTAATGATTAATTATTATATTAAAGTACATGTAATGAGGCATTTAAAGAAATGAAGAATTATATATTAAATACTGCACAATATATAGAAATACAGATATTCACCTATTATTATAGTGATGAACTAATACAATAGATGAAAGGGATGTTTAGTCTGCACCGGGAGATGATAATGTATTGGAATAGTAGAGGGTTTTCAATGGCTTCAAAGTTATGGATGCTATCTATGCATTACTATAATAAATTAAAAGCCTATATCCCAATATCAATTATATATGCTTCCATTGTGATAATCAAAGGATGGAAATACTTCATTTTAGAGATTAAATTTTAGTAATAATGTACATTAATCAAATGCCGGAAATTAAATAATATTTAAAATTTAAAATTACGCGTTTGTTAAATTTATTTAATAATTATAATTAAGATATTTTCATTCATTGAATTCATTGTAAATAATGATGAGAATATATATTTAATATAATTTTTCCTCGAATTTACGTTATATACAATCTTTTTTTACAAATTTATCATAAATCATAGAAACTACAGTGAAACTTCGCTTAACGAGTTTAATCCGTTCCAGAATTTCCGGATTTTTACCCGTATAGTGAAACATATTCAAAAATACACATAATGTGTGTACACAAGTTTTAAAAATGATGTAGAAGGCGTGAAATCCGGGACTTCTCTTCTCATCGTCACTCGTTATGCAAAACGTCGCTCGTTAAGCGAGTCATTTTTCTTACAATTCATTTTGCTCGTTAAGCGAAATGCATGGTTCTACTGTACTCCATTATTTACTTTAACAGTATAACAACAGTATTCTCTACAGTTTTGATTCAATTATTTTTTTCGAAATTGATATTTTTTTACAAATTTCTTAAAAAGTTAGTATAAAATATTAAAATTATCTTCTATGATAGTATAGTTTATTTTTTGGTGATTGCATTTTCAATTTTTCATTCATTATTAATTCATTTTTTCATTCATTATTTATTCATTGAGTTGGCTGTAATTAATGCTTAAAATAAATTGTAGTAAATTTTGTTCATGGTTATTAATTAGTATTAAGTTAAAAAAAAAACTGACTAATTAATATATATTTTATACTTGAAGATTGTTATTGATATTAGTTGTGAAATTTGTATTAACGAATACAATTTGAATCAATAAAATTAACGGAGATTTACAATTTAAATGGGATTTCGAATGAAAATGCATTTGTCAAATTTATTTAATAGTAGTAAATCTGATATTTTCGTTTATTGAATATATTTTAAATACTTAATAACATAAATTATGTCCATTGTTATTAATAAATATTTAAACAATTAAAATAAAAAATTATATTCAAATTTACTGTTTTGTTTTTCAATTACAGAAATAAAATAACTGGTGGAATAAGCAGATTGTTATAAGTTAATATTATTATGAGAATTATTTGTAAAACCTGTATTTTAATAAGAGTTGAATCAATTAAATTAACGAAGATTTAAAAAAATATAATATATTTCTAATAAAAGTCAATTTAGCATATGTTAAATTGTAAATCTGTTGTTTTCATTCATTTAATTTACTATAAATAATGAATAAAACAAATTTGTAGTAAATTTTCTTAATGATTAATAATTAATATGTAATAAATTAAAATATAATTGATTATATTCCATTTTAAATTTAAAAACTGACTAGTTAATATATTTTTTATACTTGAAGGTTGTTCTGAGTATTTGTTGTGAAATTTGTATGAATGAACACAATTTGAGTCAATGAAATTAACGGAGATTTACAATTTATAATAGCAAATCCGATATTTTCGTTAATAAATAAATTTTGTCCATTATTATTAATAAATATTTAAACAATTAAAATAAATATTTATATTCGAATTTATTGTATATTTTTTTAATTACTGAAATTAAATAGCAGGTCGAATAAACAGATTGTTTTATGATAGAATTATGTATGAATATCGGAAATAAAATTCCGTTATAATAACAATTTTGTGATGCAAATTATGGAATATATTTGAACGTAATAAAAAGTATTGGTGAAATTAAATTGATGTAAATTAAAACGTGTTGAGTTGCAGTTGACGTGTAACAAAAAAATAATAATAAATTAAATTAAAATTACGTAACAGATTGTAATAGCAACAAGTCGATGGTATCTTATTTACCCATAAATCATTTTAGCGCTTAGCATCTGAAAAAGCGGCCCCAGTTTTGGACATGGTAAATTTCCGGTTCCGGCAGTTTTCGTGGTTTTCGGTCCAGATACGTCAATCTGATGATGGTTTCCGGTTTCAGAAAAAAAAATATTTTCACAACGAGAATAATGAAGGTTTTGCAGGATTCGCGCGCGCGCTGCTCCCGATCAAACAGCACTCTGCGTACTGGATGCAGGATGTATCCGCACTCGATGCGAACCGACGGCTTCTGGATCAGGAGAGCGTCGCGACGCCGGCCCGGGAATCGCGATCCTGCACGAAGCTCGAGCTACCGACAGGCTGCCGTCTCCTGCCGATGTCTTTCGTGCAACGACCGACCACACGCACAGAAAACGCCACTAGGTTCGACCCTTCCTTTCCTCATAACGTCATCTCTCTCTCGTTCGCACACAAGCACAAGGTTCCAACTGGGGGGAATTTAATTATGCAACAAAAACTCAAATCTTATCGTAAATTCCTCTCCTTGCCACCGGTTCCCTCCTTCAAAAGCGTACTCTCATGCAATGAGCTCAGACAACAAGAATAAAGAAGACAAACACATGAGTATATTTTAATTCAAATCTCGTCCTCTGTTCATTTAATTTCATTATTTTGTATCTGACATATCTCATAATGAATCTGCAGAATAAACGTATAAACTAATTAATTTCAAATTGTAATTACAGAGAGAATATAACCAAAACTCGTCTGCACATTAAATTTAGTAATCCGACAAAAAAATATGAAAGATTTGGAAAGGATGATGATATACAAATTTACATAAAAATATTTATCCTTCAAAGTCTATTTATTCGGATTTTTCTTTTCTACTAAGATATCAATAAATATTGATGTTATTACCTCTCATACTAAGAGCTAAGATACGCAAAGAATAAGAAAGAAAAAAGTAAGCCACTCGACTATACGCATACATGATTCATCCCCTAAGTATATCTAATTTCAATTTCGTCCTTTCTTTATTTTCACTAGGATTATTGTTGTGTATCAGACATATTTCATAATTAATTCGCAGAATAAACGTATATATAGGGGTGGGCAAATGCGGCTCTTAGTTGAGTTATATACTGTAGTGTGGCTCTTTTATATAAGAAAAAGGAGAATGCGGCTCTCTTTAACCTTATGTGTGTCTATCAGTGGTATATACACTAATTAGTTTCAAAATGCAATTAGCGAAAATATAATCAAACCTATATTGTCTGCAAAAAAGATTTCGAAATAATGATGGTATAAAAATGTACATAAAAAATTCTATATCCTTCAAAGTCTATTTAATTGTATTTCTTTTTTTACAAAGAAATCAAAATAAATATTGATGTTATTACCTCTCATTCTAAAAGCTCAGATACACAAAGAATAAGAAAGAAAAAAAAGTAAACGACTCGACTATACGCATACATGATCCATCCTCTAAGTATATTTAATTTAAATTTTGTCCTTTCTTCCTTTATTTCCATTGGGATTATTATTGTGTATCAGACATATTTCATAATTAATTCGCAGAATTTATGCTTATATCAGTGATTGTCAAATGCGGCTCTTCGTTGGGTTATGTGCGGCTCCTTAAAGTGGAACCTCGCTTAACGTGCATAATTCGTTTCAAAATTTCCGGATTTTTACTCATATAGTGAAATACTCGTATAGTGAAACATTTTTCCCCATATAAACTAATATAAAATAGGATAATGCTTTCCACGTCGGAAAAAAAGTATAACGTGGTCTCGCTTTTATAAAAAAAAAAACTCGTTAAGCGAGGTGCTCGTTAAGCGAGGTCCCAATGTATATAAAAAGCAGAACTCGGATTTTATTGGTTTCATGGGGTGTACCCACCTCTGGCATATACATAATTTCAAATTTGCATTTATTTGTAATCAGTAAAAATATGAATACTGCAATAACTCATATATTGCAAGGTTCCACCAATATCCCGCACTGTTTGAAATCGGACTATTCGAGGACATTAAAAGAAAAATTGACTTGACTGTATAGAACCAAAAACAAGAGATAATTAAAATTTATTTTGTTTAATTATAATTTAGTTTGTTTTGAATAGTTCTATAGTAAATCCATACTAATCAAGCCGCACTATGCATAAATATAAAATGTGTATGGCTTCATAATAAAATTATCCTTCATCCAATTATTTGATGCCCTTTTTTTTGCAAACAATTATTACATTTTCATTCTCAACACAAAGATAAACAAATATAAGCTACGCTACGATATGAGACTAATCACATGAGTTATCATCCCCTAAGTATATTTTAATTGAAATCTCGTCCTTTCTCTCCATTTATTTTAACCAGAATTATTATTTTGTTTTTGACATATCTCATAGCGAATTTGCAGAATAAACATATATACTGGGCAGAATGACTTTTTAATTTATGATATTTATATTATTGTATTGAGTTGTAATTTTACAAATTAATTTCAAATTTAAATTACTAAAAATATAATCAAACTTGTTTTTTTCAATTTTTCTCAATCAATAAAAGAAATGTGAATATTTCCAAAATATATTGATAAAAAAAGTAAGATATTGTCTTGATATTTGAGTTGAAATATATTAATATTCTTTGTATGCAAAAAATGGAAATCAAAGATATCAATAAATATTGACGTTATTACATCTCTTTCAAATAACTCAGATACACAGACTATATGAAGAAAGAAAAAAAATATGGGACGCGACGATATTGAACATATGAGCTATCATCTAAATATATTTTAATTTAAAACCCGTTCTCTCTTTCTCTCCATTTATTTTCACCGGGATTATTATTTTGTATCTGACATACTTCATAATGAACTCGGAGAATAAACATATGTATAGTAATTAATTTCAAATTTGCATTTACCGAGCATATACCCACATCTGTCTATTTTCATTTTTTAAATATATATATTAGTCGAACTTATGTAATTATTTCTGTTCAAAATTAATTATTGCGCACAATAAAGAAAATAATTGAAGACACTGGAAAAAAATAGCAACAAATTTTGTTATAGCATACATTTTTAGAAATGCTATGGATACTAACAATAAAATTTTGAAAAATTACTTTATTATTTTTGAAACAACAAAAATGCGTTTTGTATAACTAATTATATTTTCTATTATTATGTACAATAAACTACTTTATACCAAAAAGTGATTTTTCTTTTCATATAACTAATAGATTTTCTCCTAATTTTTTTTTATATCGTGCAATTTTATTCACAATCTGTTCATAAATGTGAAAATTGAGTAAATTTATCCATTACAATATTTTTTTTTTAAATTTGCAGGTTGGCTAACGTCTTGTAGGTTTCAGTAGTATATTGATGCTCAGCGATTCCACTATTTCCTTTGACTGTGAATCTGCTGCTACCTTAACACTGTCATTCTCCATCGACTTGGATGAAAGTCCTAATGCTGAACCTCATTCATTTCACTGTCCATCTATTGCTGTAAGCACCGAGAAGACTCACAAAGGGCCTGGCTTGACCAGGATTTGAACCTGCGCCCACTAGCTCATGGCTAGGGCGACTTAACCATTCGGCTATTAATCGCCCTTTCCAAAATTTATAAATATAAACCTAATTTGAGTATATATTTTAAAATATTAAAATTTATGTTTTAAAAAAAACCTATACAGGATTAAATAATTCCGAAAAATTAGTAATGAAATCATGAATAATATTAACTAGATGAAATTCTCCCAGGAATATTCTGATTTAGAGCTATACAAAACCGAGTAGGCAAGTAATTTTTATTTTTTTCGAAATTATAAATAAATTTAAGCATAATAATTTTCAAAGATTCTTTATAAATTTGGTAACTTGGATATTTATTTCAAAAGCAACACTCATCTTAATCAAATGATCTTAATTTAAAACTTAATCTGTACCTAGAATATTTGAGGACGTTATTTATTTCTTCTGTGAATAAACTAAAGTTGGATAAAGATAAACTCATTACATAATCACGCCAAAACGCATAATTCTGACGATACACACCTTACCATGATGAAATTAAAAAAAAACTGTTGCTAATTACCGTTGAGATCGATACATTCCCGCAATCCGGCACGCTAACCGACCTAACAACAGTATCATCGCGACCACCAAAAAAATGAAACCGTTCCAATCGCCATTCATCACGCTGTTATTTATTGCAGCAATAATAATTGTGGGAATTTATTACTAGGCGACAAAGGAACAAACACAAAATAAAATACCAACAATAACAAACGGCGGCTACAGTAATACCAAAAAAAAACGAAATCCAATTTGCAAACTTCAGTGCGAAAAATCAATTTCACATGTCGCCTTCCTCGTCCTCAACCTCATCCAATTCTGTTAGGTATTCCGTTGTTGAGGTCACAGGATCAAGTTCGTCCTCGCTACCTGTAGAAAACATAAATAAAATATTAACCGCTCCTCAGCAATAAAATCATCCATGTATATTGGATAACTCTTGCGTACTATGAATTGACAGCTAAATCTAACTTACATCATCTTATTATTTTCAGTTGAAACGACTACGTTTGAGAGGATGCAATGGTTTGAAGCACCAATTAAAAGCTTCGTTAATTAGAACTTCGTTTTTTTAAAGCGCATTATATGTATACTACGCTGTAAAGCGAAGCTCCGAAACCGGACTACCCAACTATTGTATAGTGAAGATAATTATTAGCTATATCTCTAGACACCTTGGGATGTGGCTCTTGAGACTACGCTATCTTAACTAAGACTATTTAATGTATACTTAATTCATTCTGCGTCACATACGCACTATATTTAACTTAGTAATTATAAACGCTTGCTTGTATTAATTCCCAACTGTAAATTATAAATAATTTGCTAAAATTTAAACAAGTTTTAATATTAATTATTTTTGGTACACACATGTCTTTAGCTATATTTTTCTCATATTTTTATTGATTTGTATTTTACCTTCTTGTTGATTTGTTTGTTATTTATTTAATTACCTAAATTTAACATATTTGGCTCAAAATCGTCATCTTCTAATATATTCTAGAATTTTTTACCAATTGTATGAATAAAAAAAATATGCAAACATATGACCGACTATTTCATAATTACTTAAAAAACATTAGAAAAATATTGCTAAAAATAAAAAATTTGTTAAATATAAAAAACGTACTGAAGAATAAATTATGTACAAAAATCAATCTCAAAAATTAATACAAAAACAGTGGTTCATGTTCTTACTAGAAAATTTTAATTCCGCCAAAATGTTTGCATGATTTTCGCGAATGAAATTAAAAAATAAAATCTCAACATTCTATATATTTTAGTACTATTATCAGAATATTATTGTGTATTGGGGGAGATTTGTAAAATTCAAATTATTTTTTTCAGGAAAATCATAAGTTTACAACAAAAGTTTATTGGATATCTTTTTGAGTTTTATAAAGCATATTAACATAACAAAGTATAAACATGAACATAAAAACGTTTCATAATGAAATATTAGGAAAGACATAAAAACTTCAGCAAATGAATAATATGAAAGAATTGGAATAAAAAAGGTACAGTAAGATTTCGTTTAGCGCTTCGTGGACAAAAATATGTAGAGCTTTTTTAGGTTTCGAGTAGATTGCATTATATGCTAGAAGCCCTAGATTAACACTGCTTGAGGGCCTCAATGTAAGCCCAGGACCCTTAACTATGTTTTTATACCTTTGACCACGAAAAAGCCCCCGTTTATGGAACGGCCCCTGGGCTGCAGACCATGCCTAAATCCGTCTCTGGTTATATCGAATCAGCGTTTATAAAGGAAGCGCTAAACGGCAACAACGTCCACGGCTTTAATCATGGAAAGAGGATGCGCTCGAAAAAGAATAAATAAAAGTAAAGCAGCGATAATGTGTTAACAACCCCTATGCTCAGCACATCTTTGCAGTCTATAAAATGGAATGTAAGAGATATCATGTAATCTATTGATGATGTAGGAAATTAACGAAACGAGATGAGTTTTTTTACCTTTACAAACGTTACAAATATGAAGTACTATTTTCTCAATTAAAATACATTCAATTAAAGCTTTTATTTTTTTAATTGTAATGTCTTTTCTCAACATGTTTTTTTCAAAATTACAACAATTTATTTATACAAGTAACCCTCTTTTAGCACGGTTTTGCTATAACATGATAAAAAATTACCTAAACCCCAGTATACGAGTAACACTATACTTTTTAACTTTTTATGTATTTTGGGGATTTTTAAAAACAACAAATAATAAAAGTATTCACAATGTGAGAAGCAAATAATACAAAAGAAAAACATTTACGTTTATTTGTAATAAGGAGAAAAGTATCAAAAGGGAAGTCACCCTTTTGTACTGGTTTTGTGTCTCATAAAACACGGTTTCACATAGCACGGCATATTCTAGAAACCTATCTACAGTCTTATAGGAGAATCATAAAAATGTTGATAGATGTATTATTATTTGATTCATTGGTATTTCAAGCGTTTAAGCAGAAAAGATCTTAATTTTCTTTTCAAATTTTAGAAACTAGATTATTGTTTGATCATTTGTACGTTCAAGTAAACTTACATTATTGCACCTACGTGCTGCAAATATCCGAGAGAACGGCAAAGAGAAAATGCCTTTAAAATGGAATGCCTCCATCGAATGGTTGGATTCGACATCAAAGTATGTTTACTGTCTCGAAAAAAAAAAGGGAAGCTGTACACGGCTTTTATCTCTGGCTGCGATCAAATGTAATATTTATATGCAACTGTTTTTTTTTTCACCTAACACTTTTCTTTCTTTCAAACGATTTCCAACGTGCGGAAAACTTCAATTTCAATTTTCCCAAATACACATATGTAATATTTAAAATCCATTTATTTTTCTATTTCATCTCTATATATTCTATTCATTATATTTTACAGTTTATTTACACATTTTTATAAGTTCTTATTTAGACTAAATGGATGCAATATTTTTCAATTTATTTAACAAAAATAAAACGTTTGTATTTAAAGAAAACACGAGTATTTTCCCAAACACACGGACTAGCGGCGGATATAATCGTCCAATTTTTTCTAAAGAAATCTATGTTTTTGATTAAGCTTTTATGAAATATCTGTATCTAGATTCTTAACATCTAATCAAATTGCTCCATTCTAAATCCATTGTTTCTATTTAATTTATATATATATATTCTTTTCATTACATTTTTCCATTTGAAAATGATGAAAAGTTCTGTATTTAAGGAAAATATGAGCATTTAATAAGGTGGACTGCTTGAGTGGAACTTAGAAGAATGAAAGAGATCTTGAAAGAAAAGGAAATATTCCTTTGAAATGCGTAGATAAGAGGGCTAGACCACAGTAAGAGGAACTAATATACAAAGTGAGGATAAAAAGGCTACCAGTTTAAGCTTCCGTCTATCTTAAATGCAATGAGTACAAATATATAAAGTCTTATAATAGTAAAAATGAACAACGAGATCAAACAAAGTATTGCCTATAAAAAATAGTAGATAGTTGATTATATCCATCACAATAAAGTGTGCATTAAAAATTCTGCACTTGTTAAAACTTTTTTGTCAATTTTAATATAATGAATCATTAAATTTCAAAGTTAAAATAAAAGTATAAAAACTCAATGTATTTACAATGCTTTACAATACTGCTATTTACGCCATTAAACTTAATGACGGAACCATCAATTTATATAGTTTACCTTTAACGAGTCTGCAAAGTAGGATGTAAATCAAGTGCACTATAGAATTAGTTGCGAAGTGATTTAATTGTAGGGAAATATGCCAAACACGTCCTTGTTTGACAATTCGAAAGGCCACCTTTGTGTTTATTTTTGTATGCGCATATAAGCTCTCTGTTGCAACAATATTTGCAGGGTCGAAGTGAATTTCAGATTAATGTCCGATCGGAAGGCTTCTTGTGGCAGTCAGTGTGTAAACAATATTATGCCGTTAGACATATTTGCGTGCATCGTTCGAGGCGATCCTTCTCGGCCCCTTTTTGGTCGTTCCAGTAATATATTTCATCTTAACATTTATTGTCCCATGAAGTGAAGTCGGGATAGGATATGGTTTATATACCGGACTACGTAATTTACACATGTTCGCAAACACACACACACACCAGGTCAGCGAACACAAGGATCGTGAAGAAAATCAATGGAATTTCGGCATAACAGGTTTCCTGACACAACGTACCGGCCTCGTAACAAACGTGTTTCGTGAATGGACATGCCAGCAGGATTAATGATTAAGATGAGAACGTATGACACAAAGCAATTACCATTATGCAGCTAACAACACTGATATATTTTGCGAGAGTATTCAAAGGTATTTGTTGTGATACATTAATCATCATTATTGATACAGGAAAAAAAAAACCTTACTTCCTTTCCTAATTAATTCAATTACAATTACCATATAACGTTCATGGCGTGAGACTTAAGTATTTTTTTAGGTATATGCAGTCATCTCAAATAATACTGAAAAACATTGTGTTGCGATGTATACATATAAGATGAGTTGCCTAATATGGATCACTTCAAAAATAAATGTTACTATTAATATTATCAAAATGATATAACTAAAACAATTAAAATGTTAAAAGGTGAAAATTTATTATTTGTCATTGGTCCATTCAAAGCAACTGGACTGCTGAATAAAATGTCAGTTGTGAGACTTCACCTATATTACAAAATCAACTACTTCAAACACGAATCGTTTTGCCATAGAAATTTATCCGGATTATTATAATTATTCTAGGTTAAATAACATTTTTTTTACTGAAATTCTTTATATAATTTAATGTTTCTGGCAATAAATATTGCTATAATTAGTATTATATTGTATATGAACATATTAAACAAAATATAAAACTAATTGAATTGTGCAAGTAGAAAATTGGTTTTCCAAATTCATCGTCTTTTCATCATATTATATACATATTGTACAACGTCTTTGCAGCAATTTACTCGTAGAGATGACAAACTTGTCGCGACTGAAGATTACCCCACGGCCCGATTGCTACAGTTATTAATAAAGTTATTTCCAATTAAAACGCCAAATCGGTTTATTCGACTGTCCCATGCAAATAGAAAAGCCATCATTCAGATAATAAACTTTTAAGAGGTATATTATCGTTGCACCTCTCTCTGTCCCGTATGGAATCTTATTAAATATTTGATGCGGAAAATAACGGACTAGAAATTTAATGGCTTCGAAACGTTTTGGCAAATAGCGCTATCATTTTTATTTCTTCCGGTTGTTTGATTATTTTCCAACTTTCTAAGAAAACTATTTATATTTTTTCGTATGCATTTCATTAAGATCATTTGTATACATACCAAAGTCTTTTGGACTATATTATTATTTTAGATAATATTCTATTAAATATTAATAATTGAATCAAGGTTTTGCATCAGTACATGCAAAGTAATCGAGCATACGTAAATTCCATAATACGTACAGGATTATTTAGCCAAACGTACAAATATAATACGATCGTATGATACTGTTGGTATCAGTTGGTGGATTTGCAAAGAGCATTCATATTGTGGATTTGAGTTATGTTCAAGATAATTTGAAGAATTTTATAGAATATGGTGATAACATTCTTATTACATCATCGAAAAATTGCTATTTTAACTAAAAAGTAGAAACAATGTACGCATTTATGAAGGTTGAGTACGTTCATATAAACGAAGTGACTTGTGTCTTTACAGACAAACGTAAATTCATAAATTTATATGATCATTTACTGTTAGTTTAACATACAGTTTTGTACGTTTGTATGAACAGAGTGACATCCAACTTTATTTGTTTAACGTTAAGTATATATGAATTTAGGTACGTATATATAAATATAAAACCCTGTATTAAAATTGTATGTGTAAATTAAACTTAAAAATTCAAATTATACTCATAATAAGAAAAGTTTTCCAATATTATAGTTTGATTTCAAATATTTAAAAATATATTTTTTAAGAGGTAATAAAATGGTCATGAGTGCAATAAAAAAATATATAAAAATAGACTTACTTTCTTCAGCCATGATTTCAGCCAATCGTTCATTGTAAATCATCTTAGCCTTTTCCCTTTCATCGTAAGAAACAATCATCTTATTGATCCTGATTAAATTGGGCAAAAGCACCAGTATTCCGATCCTATAAAATTAGCAATGAACTAAAGGTTCTCTCTAATGCGTACCTAACCGTATCCACCTGAGAGGATCCGTCGGCTCCTGTTCGTCCTCGGCATCTTCCTCGTCGCTGGCTTGATCACCCTCACCACCCATTTCAGACCCGCCTGCAGCAAAACACGGCAAAATGTTATTACGCTAAAATCTAAAGTTAACCCTCCCCTGAGTTTCGTTCTTTTTTTTTTGCTCGCTCACCGCTAACTGGATTTTGGGTTAAAATAAGCGTATCCAGACATGGCAGGGCGGCCAACTTTCTGAATTGCCGCACTTTCGTAATGCGATTCTGCCTTAAATTCAGATACCTCAAGTTCTCCAACTGCGGTCCGAATCCATTTAATTTGCGTAGCATGTTGTTTCGTAAGTGAAGCACCTTCAGGTTTCGCAACTTCGAAAGGTCCGATTCGATTATCCGCGATATCCTATTGGAGGCCTTACACAAAAAAGAAAAGAACATAATTTACCAACAATTACTTTGCTTAAGATAGTTGTTTAATTACAACAACAATTTAACATGTCTTAAATGTCATCAAGTATATTGTATTATGTATACCAAAAAGACTAATAGGGAAAACAGATTCGGTTTTAGAACAGCTATTAAAAATGAATTATGTTCGACAACTGAGGTTCCACTGCATAAGCTAATATTTATTAATTATAATATGAGATATACAAAATTATACAAGAATTATTTATACATAATTGTAAAGCAAGAGCTCGATTAACGTTGATTCGATATAACGAGGTCTACTCGAAAACTAAAAAGCACCTAAAATTTATCAATAATACATGTTAATTTGACTTCATTTAACGTTGTTTCGTTTAGCGTTTGTCATCTAGGAGCACATTATAAGCCTTAAACGAGGTTTTACTCTACTTAAGGAAAATTAACTACTTAAGTAATAAAAACAAATGAAAATATAAAAGATCTTATAATACGAAAAATATGAAGAACTGAAATTGGAACGTAAAAAAATGTCTGTTGACCGGTGTCGATAAGGAAGATAATTTAAAAATGATCTGCATTTCTGGGCAATCCTCGTAAAATCGGGCCAGTGGAAGTAGGAGGGATCTCATATTTCGATGTCCTCGTAAAACTTCACGCAACATTTGCGACGGTACAGTTCCACAGAATCACCGTATCTTAACCAGAACTGCCGCCACCACCTCTCGTCCACCGCCGCGACCACCCTTCGCCCTTCCTCAATGCGCGTCGCGACGCCCGGTCGCACTCTTCCATCACAATATCCATCATCATCAGGATGATGCCCACTTGATAAAATTGCTCGGTGCGAACAAACCTCCTACGCCTTCGCCGGAAAAAGGAGAACCCGTTCGCCCTTTCTCTCTCTTTCTCCACCACCTAAACTTTCATGCGCAAACTTTCCAAGGAATTTATGTCACAGAACTTCGAAGGATTAAATTGAATCCTTTATGTTTCAAGAATGGAAATAAAAAGCAAATAATAATAAATAGTGCATCAAATATTTATTATACACCCGACGAAGACAATTTTCCACATCACAAAATCATCAAACCATTTCAGTCAATAACAATTGAAATATATTACGGTAGTAAAAGCTGCTGAATATATTTTTCCGTTGATTAAAATAACCGTAAAATGGGGGCAAAATTCAATGATACCATTTTAATTACAAATTAATTTAATTGCAATTTGCAGTAATTGGTGTAACTGCGTTGATTGATTGAATGAATAAAATATATTATAGGCCAGAAATTCCAAATACATATAAGAAAATCCAAGAAATCCACTATTCGGAAAAGAGATAAAATATAAACTATTTTCTTTCAAAAATTGTTGAAGTTAATTAATGTTATAAAAAAAAAGAATTCTGCTTATGTAAGACTGGGAAGTCATGCTATTTCTAGGTATTGTGCAAAAATAGGATAAGCCGTGCTTCGTTATCTTTCTCACAAAAGAGGGAGAGCCAGATAATGGCGTTTTTGCAGTGCATCAAAAACAAGGTAAAACCACAACAATGGGGGATGTGCGGGAGTAGCAATGAAATCCGTCCTGACGATGTATGGTATTTGCGTCGAATAGGCGTATTTCTGTTTTCATTCCGTTTTACCGAAAATTAATAGGCGGAAACAGTCGGTCCATTGATGCGACTATAAAATAGATTGTTTAGTGGAAAATGTCACCATACACCTTTAAACTAGCTAATACTGTAAGCCGTATCAACGTATACATTTTGAAATAATAGAAAACAACAATAATGTTTAAAAAAATGCAGTACTATTGCAGATTTATGAAACAGAAGTTCATAAATTACCATATTTTTTTTGTTTCATTAATATTGAAAACAATGAAATGAACGGACCACGTCTATTTCATGTTTTAAAATGGCAAAAGTTAAATATTTTTACTTGAATTATTGTTAATACAAAATATAGTAGAACGATATAAATCGTTTGCGGTCGAGCGGCGGATAAATACGCCCGACATTTTTAAAAGAACTACTGTTATGCAAAATTGTATGCATGAATACTGAAAACATAGTCATCGAATCTTAGTTCTTAGGAAGCGCCACTAATCTTTTTCAGACGAGTCGTCACATTTTTTTATTAACCTTTGACGTTAGTTCTGTAGATGTGCACAGATACATAACGGTTTAGATTCAGACAGCGCACGTCAAATGCAAAGGATTACAAATCTCGACCAGTTGATGGTCATTTTACACGAAAACTTCTTAATAAACTTCTAATTGTCATTGTTTTGAACCTATACAAATTATGTTATTTAAATAACATAAATATATTCTACGTATAGAAATATAATATATTTCAATTATATATTGAGATTTAAATAACTTTAATATTAATACGACTTATCTTAATTGTTATATTAGAACATCAAAAACACGCACGGTTCGACTTTCAGGTTGTTATAGTAAAATGTTCATATAATAAACGCTATTAATTAGATTAAACATGCGATAATTCTTTGTTCGACCTTGAAGTATATTTTCGTGTTTTTCCACAAATTGGTAGTTCGAGTTTCAAGTTTTTCAAACATCAACGTTTCATGTTTATACTAATATATATAAATTAAGACATAATTTCCAATTATTGTTGTAAATAATTGAATTGAGTGAACATTAATTTCGATACTATTATCATCAATTTAAATTATGCAGTATACTTTTTCAGATTTAATTGGTATAATTAACATTATTAATTATAATAATTTATAAACATCCAATTAGTTAGTCTGAAATAATGCTAGTTAACTAATTAAATAATTATTTTAATGTTATCTGATCGCGTAGAGATGTTATCTCTAATAAGTTATGGGATTACATTAATTAAGGATTCTACCGTCAATAGTATTATGCAACCAGAGATCGCTGCACACCACGTCTGCAGAACTTTGTAAAGTTACTGGATGTTCCAGTCTGCCATCTTCCATCTCCGGAAGATGGCAGAATATAAATATGTCGTTGAGATTCAATACCAATTGAATAGATGGCAGCAGCGTCTGTATTCTTGTATAATATTGAATCTTACAGACATTGTTTTCTTTTGATGTCTAAGATTTATTAACAATACTAAACTAGGTGGATTATACAAAAATCACCATTTCTCATTGAAATTCATAACAATTACAGCTGAAAGTGACACAGAGTCTTATTGAAACTGTAATTTGCCATTGTGTTTATATCAAATAACAAAACACGAAATGTGTAAAGAAAATATATTGGGCCAGACAGAAACTGTGCTTTTAAATTAAAATCAATTGAAATAAATCAAGTGACAAGCATGCAATGATTTCACTCGCGTCTGCTTTATTGGCTGTTTCGTATATTTAGTCATCATCACTATTAATCACAATTCTTAGAAATAATTGAAAATTTAAAATTGTCTGTAAAATATTCATCACTATTCAAATTACATAAAAAAAAACAATTGCAACATTTATGAAAAATGAACACATTTTAATTAGAATTTGTTAAGAGCTATTTTTCATTCTATTTTTTCATTTAATCTTCACTTTTTATTAATATAGGGTGTCCCAAAATAAACGCAAGATTTGAATTTGCCGCAAAATTTGTTGGCAACCCCAAAAAGAAATCACAATCTGAAGACTAAAAACTGTGTTTTCTATTTAATTCAAATCTTGCGTTAATTTTGGGACACCATTTATTTAGTACAAGTATTCCCATATTCTAAAATCCTATTTTATTACAAACAATTAAAAATTAAAGAAAACCTATAGGCCTACAGATTATATGTGTAATAATGTAATAATTGATTGGAATAAACTACTTTCTGAACTCAATTCGCCGATTATTTATGAAGACATAAAGACAAGTCATTTCACTAAAACTGCTAATTTATAACTTATTAGTGATCGAAATAATCGAGGTTACAATTCACATGGGCGTATTCTAACTTATAGTCTATAGACTATCGGGATTAGCTTTGTAAAGGTTACGTCTGCAGCAATAATATATTCCTGGCCTGAAGGATTTCAGGTCGACAGCCTGCAGTAATCCGATTACAACGAATTTATTTCCAACTTTTTCTTCTTCTATCATACCAGATTATAATAAACACTTTCTTTTTATTAAATAGAGAAAACAATATATGCATTTATAATTTTGATTAATACATTATGATTATTAGTATTTTCATTTAAAAAAGATTAATGATTAATTTATTTAAATATTATCCAGAAGGTAAAAATCATTTATAACTGAATTATCAATTAATGTGTATATAATTGATTAATATTCCAATAGTTGATTTAATTAATAATTTAATAAAGTTAACAAAAAGGACGAGTAAAATATTAACAACAATCCTTTTACAAATTTGGAAATCAACAAGGATTAATGTAACAAAAGTTGCCTACACTTCAGGACAATTCATCCAATACTGTAATTCTTTTATAACACGTCAGATGGCGCCACCATACGGCAAGCTTGTATTTATTACTTATTTTTTTCGAAATGACCAAACTAAATTCAGACATACCAATGTCTCGTACCGTCTATCTATATCCGAGCAGAATTCGAAAGGAGTAAATAATCGATTTTGCTTACCAAATATAACTTTTCAATTGATTCCGGGATATTTCCACCCACTTCAAACAGATAATTTCCACGCAGCTCCAACAGTTTCAGATGCGGCAGAAGACTCGAATCGAATTCCATCTGATAGATTTGATTAACTAAAACAATAAAAAGTAATGTGTTATGTATTTTTTTCTAAATAATTCGGTTTTCGAACAACTTTTAGGAACAAATTAGAAAATTGACTTGCTTTTATGTAACATGATGTATTGATTAATTATTTAGGGAATAGTTTAGAACGTCACTATAACTTTCAGCTTACTTATTTTCTAAAATAGACTGTTGAAAAACAAGAGAAAAATATGAGATATTATACAATTAACAACGCTTTTATTAGGAACAGATTACCGGCTTTCATTGAAATTCTAAAAGTATAGTAAATACAGAGAAATCTCAGTTATCGAACATAATTCATTCCTAAAATTTGTTGGAAAAACGAATTACAGGCTATCATTGAAATTCTAAAAGTATTATGGTAAGTGCAGAGAAACCTAGGTTATCGAACATAATTCATTCCTAAAATTTGTTCAAAAACCGAATTACAAGCTTTCATTGAAATTCTAAAAGTATAGTAAATACAGAGAAACCTCGGTTATCAAACATAATTCATTCCTAAAATTTGTTCGAAAACAGAATTTTTCAAAAACGGATATCTATATAGAAATAACATCAATGTTTAAGATGTTTGTTTGGAATATGTATGGAAATATTTGTTTTCTAAATAAATAAATAATAAAAATACAAATTGTGACACTAAATTAGCAATAAATTATTTTGTTTACTTGATTATTGGAATTTAGATTAATAAAGAAATCAAACGGAAAAGGTTAATAAAACAAGTTTATAATCAAATCATAAATTATCCTATTAATTATTAGTTAATTTGAAATCAGGTCAAAATTGATTTTTATTGGCAATTAAATCGCCTGTCCAATAATAAATAAATTATGATTGTAAACAATTGTTTAAATTTATTTTGTGACTTATATAAATACGTTTTTGAAAATTGCAAATATTTGTGTGTAATATATTTGCATATTTTTATAATTATAGAATGTATACCAGACAGCTTACATTCTTTACAAATCCCCGTGATTTATTGCCCGGCAGGTCGAGAAGCATGCAAAATTAATGACGTTTTTACATGTAACCATCGTTTCCCGCTCAACCCTTCGGCTGTTTCACTCTCATCCGCACTTTTAATGAAACCAATTGAAACCAATCGATGCGTAATCAATTGGGGTTAAAAAAAAATGCAAATCGAACCTTTTCTGTGACTGATGAATGTAATGGTAGAGAGCGCGGCAACAACCCTTTTCGATTGAACTTTTTGAAAGAGTTAAAAAGAGTTTAAAAAAATGGATCGAAGGAGCCCCGAAAATATGTATATTCATTTATCAATTTTTTTTATTTTCGCTCGTTTCAAGGGGTTTCGGGGAAAAAAAGGACCTGCATGTGAGAACTGCTCAAAAACGACCTTATTAGATTATCAATCATATTGTGGACAGTGACAGAATGATCGTTAAGGAAGTTGTACGTTTTTTTCTTATATATTTACAATGGAAACATATGAAATGAGGGAATTTAAGGCAAGAAAATCAATTTACGTAAGATTTTCACGGTCAAATGTGTATTTTAATTCAAAACGAGTATAAAAATATATATATAAAAATCGCGTATCTAAATACACCTAGTATATATAAAAAAAATTAATACTAATGTGATGAATGAGGCTATGACTTTAGAGCAGCTAATGAAGTGAACTAATGTTTTAAAATCTGCGGTGGGCCTATTAAAACCTCTTGGCGGGTCAAATCTGGCCCGCGGGTCGTAGTTTTCACATCTTAAACCATATATTTAATAATTATATAAAAAATGTTAAAAAATTTATAAGAAACGATGGACATCATGAAAACATAAGTAAATTTTATCGTATTTCGAAATTATTCATTGTCAGATGACTACGAGATAACTCGTAGTTGGCATTCGACAACAGACCTATATTTATCTTATAGTTGTTAATTTAATTGGAAATTTCTTTCCAAACGCTTTTCTATTTTATAAAATGTAAACATATATTTTTTTTTTAATAATTCATCTTAAAAATCGATTTTTAAATAAGATTTAAATAACTACAAGTTTATTTCCGCTCTTAAACTTCTATCAAGTATTGACGTAAACATATTATTTAAAATTGAAGCTACGTAATAATTGTAAACAATTATGACATACAAATGAAATTCAACAAATTGTTGCGAAGTTTTCATAATAAGTATCAACATTAAATAATGACAATACATAAGCAAGTGATTACAACGAATTAACTTGTTTTTGCATCTTTCATAATAAAATATCCACGAGATAAGTTGTTAACTTGCACGGTAGACTGCAAACTAAGAGTTATCTTGTAGTTAATTGGTAATTCTTGTAAGAATTGTCAACATTTAATGTTAATGTTGACATGTTGTCATTGTAAAGTAAATTACTACGAATTAACTCTTTTTGGCATCATTTATATTCAAATATCTTCGTGATAATTTGTAGTTAACTTTCAACGATAGACTAAAACCCATGAATTAACTCGTAGTTAATTATAATTTGCATAAATATGGAAGTAAATATTTTATTTCACAACAAAGCTAATATGCGAATGATTATGAAAAAATGTTAAACACAAATCAAATTGAATAAATTGCAACGTTTGTATAATAAATGTCAACATTATAATTACAACACACAGGTAGTTAGTAATTTTACTATGAAATTACTCATTTTTGGCATCATTCATAGTAGACAAAAACTACGAGTTAATATAAACGATGTAAATATTTTATTTCAAATGGATACTAGGATACGAATGTGAAAAATTGTGAAACACCAAACGAATTAAACAAAGCTGTTGCAAAGTATGTATAAAAAGTGTCGCAATTGAGCGATTGTTATCGATCGTATGTAAAAATGTGATTTCTTTTACGACATTTCATCGGATATTTGAAAGATGTTACATCAAAAACCGCATTCCTGAATGTCTAAAACGTGCGCGCCGTACAAATAAACAAACGCATCGAAGCGGGGGAGGGAAGTGAGTGAAATTTGAGCCGGTGAACGAGGAAATGAAATACGAGAGAATTTGTGTTAGGAACGAAAGAAAAAAATAATAGGAAATTAGGTGTATTTATTTAACACTCGATGGTCTAACGTGAAGAAAGAACAATTTCCTACCGTTAGTAACAAAACTATAGAAACCAGTAATTTTTTAATTCGCCGTTAACAGTTTTAATTGCATAATTTCGATCGAAGTTTGGACGCGAGAAATAAAATTAAATAAATAAATGAATGTAATAAACATATACAACGTTTCGAAACGTTTGTTTTGGACTACATTGTTAAAATTGGAATTGCACAAAGCGCGCGAAATGTGCAAGGTTTCGAAAATACGAAATCACCGGTAAGTGTAAACAAAATTATATACCGAAGAAAATTATGTTCTGTTAGCTGTAAATTGATTGCGCAATGCGTGCGCGTTTATTCGAAAGAGTATTATTCATAATTCACGTTTCCGTTGGAAATAAGTAAAATGCAAATTCATGCTGTGATGCAGAAAAGTTTCAATTTTTTCATCTTCTCCGTGCGACAGCTTATTTTTTTTTCACGTTAAAGGGTTTTAAAGTTTTATTTCCATTTATTATATTTTTTTTGTTTGATTCAATTCCCGATGCAGCTGTGTTTGCTCCGTCTGCTCCCTCCTGGCAGCAGACAGGAGGAAAAAAGGGTTTAAGGTGCCGTTGTTGTATAACACAGATTGTGGAAAAGGGAGGAGAGAGCGAGAGTGCAGTTTTTTAAGCCTTTTTTTTTCTCTTCTTTCTCTCCCAAAATAAACGCGGAAAGGGTGCTGAGACTTTTCATCCCGTTCCATTCATTATTTTATGACGAGTCTTTTCTCACAAGTCACAGTCGCACACATATAGTCAAGACATTTTTAACCCATTCTCGGTTTGGAGAAGGAAGACGAAACAAAAAAAAAATTGTAAACGCGGGAAATGAAATTTGGATTTCAGCCATTTATTTTTGTAGAATGCGTTGGAAAAAAAATAACAACCACGACACTAATCGAAATTTTAATTGGTTTCGGTTTTTTTTTTCTGGTTTAACTTTACACGTGTGATTCAGTAAACCATTCACTCCTGTTAGATCGATATTTAAACATCGGTTTGATTGGTAATTACGGAAATCATCTAATATATTCAACCAAATAAAAGTCGATTTTAATTAAAACTACTTTTATCTCAATTAATTTTGGTGGCTTATACTTTCTTTTAACGTTATTAGTAGTCATTTACTCATAGTAAACACATAATACTTCAAACATATTAATTTAGAATATACTATAAAACTTTCCTTTACTTTCATAAACATCAATATTAACCTTTACATTTATTTATACTGATTTATAATATTGCGAAGTAAATATCATATAAATAATATTTAGACTAATTTCTTTTATAAAACAAAAACAAAAATAAATGATGTTATATTAAATGTATTATGAAGCTTTTAATTGAATAATTAATATCAATAAAAAAAATAACAATATACAGCAATAGAAATGCATAATGCGACATTTCGAAACAACCATTATTTCTCTTTATCAGTTGAGTTTGTTTTTATAGGTTTATCCTCGATTAGTCCGGTTTCAAAGAGTCGGATATATTGGCGTATCCAATATAGATTGAATGTAAATGAAGAGAAAAATACGTCAAATTTAACGTTGTTACGTTGAAACTCGCAATTAATGATAATTATTGTATAAACTAATAAATTTATATTATGCGTAATTAAAAAGTTAAGTAATTAAAACATTCCACGTTTCTTGTATATAAATAAAAAATAAATACACATTAATTCAATTTAAAAATATATAAAAAAATATATTTTATTGTCCTTTATTTTATTTTTTAAATTTTATTATTCTTTTCTTATCCACCATAGAATTTATACCAAATTAGTTTAATATTATTGGAATGTAGCCTTCGCAATTATATTTTCAAATTAACTTTGTTTTCGACCAATTTGATTGATATTAGATAAAACATATAAGACAAAATATTTTAATAATTAGTATATTACTACATGAACATATATCAGTAATTATAATTATAATTAATGGTTCCTTCAATAGTCCGTTTTCAAACAGTCCGGTATATTGTCGCACTATGCGAGGTATTGCTGTATTTTTTATAAATTAAATTGAACAATATGCTTATAGTTTTTATTATATGTTAAAAATTATTGTTATTAATGAATTGTATTTTTGTCTACATAAGTTTTTTATATATATTTGTAAGAAAAGGTTGAAGAAAACAATCGGAAGTAAAAAATGAAATCGCATTCCCATAAAATTTCTTCTTCAGGAAAAAAAAGGGAAGAAAATCATTTGCGCACAATTAAACACGACCGATCGATCAGGCAGCTCACGATGTGCTAAAAAAGCTGTGATCAATCACAGATATCATATATCATCATCTTCCTCCGAGTTTCCGGTTACCAGCAACCCCTTAGCTGCTTCCTATACTCGACCGGCGTTCCTTTTTTGCAGCATCATTAAAAAATGTTAGGGGGTTAGTGTCCTTGTCCGGACAGGGTTCGGGCCAGGCGCACGTCCTTCTACCTGAGCCCAGACGACAACCCCCGAAGATACGTGATCGATTATGTTGCGGGTTCTAATCGATCCTTTTTAAGAGTTAAAAGTGCGTATTGGGTTTCGTGAGAAATTCACGTTTTTTACCCCAAAAAAAAAATGAAAAAGAAAAAACAGGGAAAAGAAAGAAATGAAGAGGGTGCGTGAATGTAATTGAAAATGGAGAAGAGTTTATAAAACTTCCCGGGGTCAGGGTGAATAATAATAATGAACAAAAAGAAGGAATGCTGAGATATGGATAAAAAAAGGGAACGGTGGAAAAAGGGATTAAATGATCGATCGATCTGTCTAATACTACTTGAGAAATCCTCCGATTTCGTTCTCATAATTCTCGAGTGGATTATGAATATTTCTCTTCCTTTTGTGTTTTGTGGTGGAAACAAAAGATGGGAGAAATATTAGTAATACTCACAGTTCAAATCCAGATACTCGAGCGCCCGCTGTTCGATCCCGCTGGTTATGGTAATTTGGTTCCTCGACAACGATAAATCCTTAAATGGGTTCATTATTATTTTATCTCGTCTATTTAATTATGAACAGAGACTCCATTTCCATTGTCGAAGCAAAAGTATTTAACTTCGGCAGCGAAACAACAATGAGCGTGAATTGTTCATTAAGATCACCTGTAGGTAGGGCATTTCCTTGAGAAGGGCGCACTCGACGAAGTTACGCTGCGCGTACAGCTGTACCAGGAAGGGAAGACCGCTGAACGTCTGTAGGGCCTGCAGGTTAAGGTAGTTTCCGCTCACGTCGACGAAGAGCAGATGACGAAAGTTCGTCAGGATTCTCACGTCGGTCAGCTTCCTGCGATGAGGAATGCCATTTGCAACAAGTCGCCGAAAGGGAAAAGGAAGCGCTCGCACTTACCGATCGGTCACTGTTACTTTTAAGTACGCGTAACGCATTCCACTTTCATCCTTGCCCAGGGTGTTCAAGCACTTCGAGGCCTCATCGAAAGTCAATCGTTTTTCTTGGATCGTTATGGTAACCGCCTCCTTGGCTCCTTCACCAGCCGCCGATCTGAAATACCAAAACTTACATAACAAACCAACCAAATTCTTATAAACAAATTACACAAAACAAATATAATTATTATATAAGTAATTTAATTCTATTATTAACTTCATATGATTACAATGATGATTGACAAAAAGTTAACCAGAAAATAAATTACGTAAAATTTCATAAAAAATACGAAAATATTTTACTTAACTTAATTATATTATTATTTTCAAATTATTAAAATTAAGACCTAGCCTTTATTTAAAAAAATAAATCCGGATGTAATTTTTAGTAAATATATCTCAAACTATAGAAAGTTTTAATCAAAGTTAATTTAAAACGTTCCTTTATAAATAATATTAAAAAAGAAAAGTTACATGAAAATGTACAATAAAATATACCCAAAATAAAGATAGATATTGTATTTACTGTAGCTTTTATATATAATCAAATAAAATTAAGAAAATCCAAAGCTTATAAGTTAATACGAAGAAATGTTACAGTAAAATGTCTGTAATGTAATGTATTACTTTTTACTTAAAAGTTTTCTAGTTAACTTACGTTATGTAATTTTACATTTAATAAATCAAAAGTATATGCTTATGATCATTTTTTTTAGAAAGTTATCTTAAAAAAAGCGTTACGTAAACAAATCAATATTCTATCCTTAAGAGCAAATTTGTAAATTGTCTTTATTCCCAAAAAGATAACTCGAATAAACATGTTACATAACAAACTATGTTCAAATCTAATGATTTAACACTTTATCTCAAAAAGTTAAATTGAAAACATGTAATACGTATTGCAATACCGATATTTATCAGCAATATCACAAATATCTGGTTATTATTAGCCGGTTTCCAGTTATATACTTTTTTTTGTTCTTGTTTTTTGAACTTAGTGCGTCTGCAGAATTCAAAGTGCTCGAGGCGATCATAAAGAAACTTCGTAAATATAGAAGTGAAGTATATTAGAATGGCAATAATATTGTTGATTTAGTACAGCATCGGTGGTAAATGAAATTGAAATTCTGTCATGTATATTTGCTGGTAGTTAATTTTCCTGCACGTAATTTATCGTTTCATTAACCATTAACAATGACAAAATGCTCGAAATACATACAATTTCTATTATAAATAAAAATTATATTTATTATATATAACTTCAGAATTATTCGAAAGTTGTAATTAAAATAAATACTTTTACATAATATGTTAGTATATACAACAATACCTTACAGAATGCGACTTCGAACAGTCCGGTTTGAAAATTTTAAAACAAACTAAGTGCTCAATTACTACGGTTTCAAATAGTCCGGAATATTACGCGCACTATGCGAGCTATTACTGTATAAAAGAAACAAATTGAGTTTGAAGTATAAATAACTTAAGAAAGTTATGATGAATAGATAGTTGGAATAATAGAGGGTTCAGTATTTCAGTTTTTGTTTTTGTAGCTGTAGAACATTGATAGAAGGAAATACACATCTGTTGAATTCCTACATCGATTAGAGAACAACGTGAAATGCATGCATCTTCCAAATAAAAACTGAGTTAAACCTCAGAATTATAATAGAATAAATAATTAATTTTATGATATTCAATTACATTTCTACCGTACTAACAAAACTGCAACTATTGCTAATTGTATTTATATAAATTACTCACTTTGGAACTTCGCCAAGAACTTCTTCATCGGATATTTCATCTTCAGACGAGTCTGACATTTCACAATTAATTAATTACGTATTTGTCAGTAGTTAAAGCCACCTACGACAAATTAAATACATACAATTTTTTTTTAAATCAAAATCAAGAAAATATACGTATTTTTTAATAAAAATTAAAATGAATTATTTGTATAATCATAACAACAAATTAATTAATTTATTTTAAAGTATTTTTTTTTGTACTAATAAAAAAAATAACAATAAACATAGTTTACTTTGTAATATATAATGATGGAAGAGTATGAAATGTCATAAAATGATGACACAAAGATGTGAAATCTCTTTAAGAAAATGCAAGAGAAAATCTGCAACCTTTAAAACAATGACGAAGCGAGTAGAAACAATGTAAGATAAATACCTCTAAAAGTAAAGTACTAACGTTTCTAATCACCTATGAACATAACGTAAACTCTTGGATTCCAACAGTAAATGCTTTCCTTTGTTTTTATTCATTCATTTTTCATTACCAAATAATTTGATTCTTTTTCTTAATACACCAATACTTAGGGACTATTTGAAACCGGATTAATCGATAAAACAATAAAACAATAAACCGCACTTTACTGTATCATGTGAAAAAAAAAATCATTTATGTATACAAAAATAATTTTGTGTACTAATTATTTAATCCAGACTGATAGAAGCCGTACTATGCGAGGTATTGATGTATTATTTTTTTAATACTTTTAACAAACATCAAGATATGTAAGAATAATTAATTGTAAAACTGATTTAATACAATAATTAAAATGTAGTTTTATAAATCATTAATTAATATATATATATATATAAATTACAATCTGTATTAGTTATTTATTATTGTAATTTTCTAAGAGATCTCTATTAAGCTATTTAATATTCAAATTGGTAAAGACTGTTAACACAATATTGCCGTCATTAAGAACACTATTATATTGTTAAAGCAAATTATCTGGAATGGCTTAGTTTCCTTTCAACTCGTATTCCGGATGCACATTTCACAGAGCCCAGTTTCAAGGTCACAAGTGTATACAATAATTATTCTGCTTGCATTGCATATATTTCGTATCCTTAGAAACAAACTGAAAACCTTTCGAATATCACTTTTAGTTTACATTTAGTTTCTCATTCATTTCAATTTATATGTCTCATTTTTTATCACAGAAAGAGAATATTTTTATAAAGAAAAAATAGTTATTTAACTATGGGACAAAATATTAAAAAAAGAACAAAATATTAATTTTTACAAGAAATACAGATTGATTTTATTATATAATGAATTTAACAACATATCAAAATGAGTTTATTGCTCAAAACTGTCTGGGCTATTTAGTTTTGAGCAAGTGGAACAAATTGGTCTTTTGCAAATGTCACAAAACGTTGCTGTTTTCTTGACGCTTTTACTTTGACTTTTGTCTCTTTCTTTAGGATGAAGGAATCCGTTCATAGTAAATACTAGAATACTAAATTGATATAGAATAGAATTAGAATGAAAATAAATATCAGGTAGGTCACTCTGACCCATCCGTAGTACTTACAGGTTAATATAATTTATATATTTAGAAAACTTATTTTTCAACAGTTTTTGAGTAACTTTTCAATAATAAAAAATAATTTTAACTTTCTTGTTTAAAAAAACTGATAAAATTATTTCGGAACTTTAATGAATATTTCACATGTACAGTAATATCTCACACAGTACGGGTTCCACCTATATCCCTGTTTGAAAACAGACTAATTGAGGACTTTAAAACCGCATAAAAAGGATACTTATGTATAAAAAAAATAACATTTAGTTTCAAATCGAACTATAGTGTATCCGCACTAATAGAGGAATTACTATATTTTACGTTGATTTCAGTAACTTTTGTAGTCTTAAATATAAATTTTGTAAGTTTAGATTTCAAATAGTTTTGTCTTTGGTATTAGAATTTTACTTGAGGTATTGATGTAAAAGTGAATGAAATCATATAAATTAGGAAATTCCGTTATGAAATCGCTTAAAAATATAATGAATAAACTTTAACGTATTATAATTTTGTAGTTTTTGTTTTTTTCAAGGTATGGAAAAGTAAATTCTAATTATGGTTATTTACCTTCGTATGTAATTTAAATAATTTATAATGGTATAAAATATTGTTCCTTATTGTTTATGTTTTGCAATTACTGAAGAAACCAAAAAATAATAAATGATAATGATATTAAATTACGAGATGAAATTGAAGTGCGAGTGGAATATGGAAATGGTAAATGCTTACAATTAGCCGTATTTATGAAATTTATAAATATGTAAATTGCGGTTCACTTTCTTTATATTCAAATCATCCGGCACGAAGATAATTAGATAATTACGCACATCCGAGGAGGCTTTCTACGTTTCGGAAAAGTACGAGAAAGAAAAAAAAGCAACATCAAGCACGTATGTAACTATCAATAAATAAATAAATGAATACACAAAGAAAAGAAAAAGAAACTCTGGTATTTACGTAACCCGAAAACCTAAAAAAAACCATTAGTTCATGATGATTATAAGACTTTTTACGTATGGAAAAGCTTTGAGATTGAGGAGCGGAGAGAAGAATGAGAAGAAGAAAAAAAATGTTAAAAAGTTCCCCAATCTTCGTTCTTTCGTTCGGACGAGCTTAGAGCTCTTTTATATGTGTATATCGTCGTCGTCGTTGTGGACTTTTTTTCCCTTCGTACTCTTCTTCGTTTTGGATTCTCGTTTGATTCTGATAGCCGTCAAAATGGTGCTTAGTCACGGTCGGGGCACGGGCGCACCGAAGAAGACGACGATGGACCGACCTCACCCTTCTTCTCCTCTCTTCTTTTTCCTTCTTCCTTTTGCTCCGACGGAATGATATTGAAATGTAATGCGCGAGATATGGAAGAAAGAGGAGAAGACTGATCGCCGCAGAATCTGCTTTTCTGCGCGGTGCGGCGAGAGAGAGATTATACAATACCATTGGAAGAATCATCGGACTCTGCAGATATGGCAAGAGCGCATTGGGCATTGTCTTTTGCATTGCGTACATATTTCGTGGACTATTTCTTACCTTCACTCTTCCCTTCTCCCTTCAGCGGCGGCCAGCATTGTTCCGATGCCAGATAGTCATCGAAAATCAAAAAATATCGCTCAAATACTTCATCTAATACCAGCCGCATCTGAAAATTCTACAACTTCTATAGTTTACTTTTATCAAGATTCTATCTCTATCTCCAAGTTACACAATACAATCAAACGATTTTACCATATTTTTCCAAAAAAAAAAGAAGAAATACAAAAATACATAAATAATATTTCAATCGATATAAATAAGAAGACAGTAAGACTTTAAGCATCAAAATTTACATAGAAATAATTCTTTGCTTATACAGCAATACCGCGCTTATACCAATATCCCGCACTATTTGAAACCGGACTAAATACTTAAAAATAAACAGCACAAAACGAGACTTGTACAAAGCAAATAAATTAATTTATGTATAAAAATGTAGAATTTATAATTTAGTTTGTTTTGAAATTTTCGAACCGGACTATAGTGAATCCGGAATAATTGAAGCCGCACTATGTCCTTATGGTTGTCCTTATTGCTTCAATTGGAAGCGCTGAGGATAACCAATTCAAGTACTATTCTTATAAAAACTTGTTTAACTTTTATAAGTAGAAAGGTTTGATGTTATGGACTGAAATTAATATTTTAATTTTTCAATTTCGAAGCAATACGAAGATGTTGATTGGATTTGGAAACAGAAACGCGCAACGTGGTACACTTTTTATTTTTTAAACTATTGTATTCATTCTCTGCTTAGAAAAGTGTTGTTTTAACTAGGTCAATGTAATTTGCTGGAAACAATGTTCGATTACCTAACGTCGTAATTATTGCATACATCTGCAAACTAAATGGCCTTAATCAAGATTTTTTTTTATTAATATAACTTTAATGAAAACATAAACATAATTAATATCTAAGTCAATAAACACAAATAATACATGAAATCAATTTATTTTTTTTTCGCAATTCATTTATTATTATTTTTATTGACCTTAATTTGGACCAAAACTTACAAAATCTATACAGAAATACCTACGGTTCTGCCAATATCCCGGTCTATTTGAAACCGGACTAATCGAGGACTGCATAAAAATTAAAAAGAGACTCTATAGAGAAATTAATCCGTACTGATCGAAACCGATAAAAATATCAAACTATAAAAATTAACAAATATTGTTATTAGATCTAGAAAGTATTTACTATAAAAATCAAATGTACATTAGGATTAACATAGGTAATATAAAACGTGTATTGAAGAATGTCTAAACATATTGTAAACGATAAAAAGTAGACATCAAATGTATTCAAATATGATTCGTTTAATAACTTAATTTCTAAAGTAAGATCCAATATTGATACATATTCACTTTTATACTCCCATACGGAATTCATTTTTGTTGCATGACAGCAGGTAGAGGAGAATCCGATAAAATTTACATTTTTTTGTACTCCTGTCAGTCTTTCCCACTAATTTCGAATACATCAAATTTCCTCATCTATAATGGAGAAGATCTATTAAGATAAACAATCCCATTCTCGTTCACTCTTATTCACAGCTTTTGTTCTCGTTATATTGAACATATTTTTTTATAATATTTATTAGAATCAATACTAAACTTTACTTAAAGAACATTTAACAGTAAATTAAGATAGAAATACTTCAGTCGTTTGGCTCAAAAAGTATAATTTTGGTTCAGTGCTATTATATGAATCGTATTTTCTATGTATTTAGTACACAAAGTTAAAGATTACCTTGTAAACTATTTCATCTTCAAATATCAAATATCTCTAGCTCACTACTGAGCTAATATTTCCAATATTTAAAACTGTTGGTGTTGTCATGTCTAAATTCCATAAAACTAAGTAGATTTTAATATTACTTTATATACCAGCAACTTCTTTAGATACCAGCAATTTATTTAGTTGTGAATTCTCGAGTAATAACCAGCATAACATTGTAAA